ATAGCCAGGGCCACGATACCTCATCCACCATATAGCATTGGCATCGCTCTGTCGGACTATCGCCTCCCCTGCGCCCTGAATAAGCATCTGCCAGAGAAGAAAGTTAAAGATTGCGACCACCCCAAAAACGACTTCTCCAAATTCTTCAACCCCCAGCTTCCTTCATTCTGGGCTGGAAGCTTCCAAACGCTCACTAGCAAATGCACGCATATCAGTGACCATGATGGTGGTTATGTCATTGATCAGTTGTTTCCTAGAAGAGATAAATCTTGGATAAACAAAAGTGTCGAAATTGCGACAAGAATTATGAGACAACCCAATAGAAGCAATACAAACCTACTCGTATGGCAAGGTATGTTTTTTCGCTGAAACAACCACCTCCAAAATAATTATGAAATCACTAAAGCTAAGAAAAGTAAGGTTTGCTTTCCGTGGCCGTAAACACAGTCATTCATTTTGGTCCGATACTGTCCATTAACTCTGTAAAATCACACAATTGCAGTCACCAGAACATTTGTCTTTCTTCTCTTCTCCCTAGCGTTAGTCCCGCGCGCAGTCGCAGGGTCCGCTGTTTTTGTCAGCCGTCGCCACTTTGCTCTGTCCAGGGCATCTTCCATCGTGGCCGCGACCTCACCTAGGTCCTTCTTGATTACGTCTTTCCACCTTTTCTTCGGGGCTCCTCGCGGTCGCTTGCCTTGTACTTCGAAGTCCATCGCTGTTCTTATCGGATGGTCCTGTGGCCTCCTTAGCACATGCCCATACCATCGCAGACGCTGTTCTCGTACCTTCAGCTGGACAGGGGCACAGTCTGCATGACTGCTCTGACGGTCTCTTCTCTAACCATGTCCACTGCGGTCCGGAATCTCGCGCAGGCCCACTCCGCATGCCACTCATTTCGGCTAGAGTGGAGCTGTCTTTCCTGATTCTTGTTCAAGGCCCAGCACTCGCTGCCGTAGAGCATCGCAGGCCTTACCACTGTCCGGTACACCTTTCCTTTGAGCGCTCTGGAGCACCTTCGATCGCAGAGGATTCCAGTGGACTCCCTCCATTTCATCCATGCAGCGTTGACCCGAGCCTTCACCGCCTGATCCACACTACCGTCGGCTGCCAGATCGCTTCCAAGGTATCGGAAGTCCTCCACCCTTTCGATGGTCTCACCATGGCCGTCCACGATCGGCTCTGCACCCTCTTCGGAGCTCAGGAACTTGGTCTTCTTGACATTCCTTCTGCCAGGACTTTCTGAATATCCAGTGAAAATTTTGTCGCATCGAAGTATTGCGTATTTAAAGCTCAAAATCCACGGATTTGTGTGAGGCGGCGGCGCTCGCAAACCGCTCTGGTCCCACGCGGCCAAAAATGCCAAAACGCGCGATGTCGTCAACGTGTTAATATGACATAGACAAGGATTACCCAAGATGTAGTAAGAAAGGGGAGTGAAAACATAATAGAAAGGTTAAAACGAAGCAAGAAACCATTGACCCTGATCGCGTGTTGTACTCGAAATTTTGGATAGCACATCGCGGCTTCTTACAATGCATTTAGAATTGGGACACTTTGCCTGGCGTCGTGGTGCGTTCACGGCTTCATACTGACTCACACATGAGGGGGGGGGGGGGTAATTTTCTTGCTAACAGTGACCATTCCGTGCTGCAAGAGTCCTATGGTTGTTGGGGTATGTTGCCCTGCTTCTAAGTAATTTCGGAGCTTATCTACATGTACAGCTGCGATCGATAGCAGTTCCCAAAAAGCAAAATCAAAACACAGCCTTTGCTACCCCATTTCAACCCTTAGAAGGTGTGCTTTGTTGAGGGCTTTTGTGGCGCCACAGCAGTCAGCGATTTGTCAGCTTCTAGGGCTCCCATTGATGGCTTGATACTGTCGTATTGGCTCTTTGAAACATGAGCGCAACACAGTTTCCAGGCAGACACGTGTTCATCTACAACAGTACCTCCAAATTTATGGCGTAGTATAAATGAATCGATCCACCAATTAGGACAGAATTTCTTTTTTTGTGTACTATTCTAAAGCACCATTCAGGGCACTTAATCCGGCCGCAGTGATTCGGATGACCGATAAATCGCTTCTCAACTGTGAGGTGATATATGCTCGGCTTAGTCACTTCGGTAGGCTTCCTCCGGTGGTAAATTTGACTAGAGATGATATGTTTTTGCTGAAACAAGCGATAAAGTCTGGATCACCGGACTTGCTGACCGTAGGCACCCTTTATCGCCAATATTTAACCTTCCAAGTAATACGGAGCTATTGCGAAATGGTTTGCAGTTGTTTGTCCTGCCATGCCCTGTTAGGAATATATTTGCACATATGACACACGCTCAAATGACATCATTTCTGTTTGGGCTCTGTTATAATGGAATCTGCTTTTCCACGAAAGAGCTGCACTTATTCACTGCTGGTGAAAGTGGATAGCACTGTAGATTGTCCAGGCAACCTATGAACAATTTCGAATGATTTCCTCTTACTTTTAAGTGCAGTCACTCATTGACAGAAGGTAAAATAAAAAGTAGCTCACACAAGTTGTATTATAATTTAGGCATATTTATAACGACCGCTTAAACAGGTTCTTGGAGTTGCTGGATTGGTGGATTTGGATTTTGATGCTCTTTTCAAAAAATCAATAACTATTGGACGTACTAGAGGTCATAGCTATAGACTACTAAGAGAGAAAACCTTACTCTGCTGAATATCGAAGTTCATTCACACAAAGAATCATTACTTTATGGAATGAATTACCACCTTCTGTGGTTTACTCAAGCTCTTCCAGCTCGTTTAGGAGAAAGGTTAAGCAGATTTTGGTGTCTCGAGGTTGGTTTTAAGAGCAAGAAACTAAATTCTATAGAAACTTATAAGGAGAGAAGCGATTCACTTTGCTGTCTGTTACATGATTTTGTGTGACGTATAAATCTCAGTTCCCATTTATCTATTTGCATTATGAATATACCAGATTGGTCCCCCGGCAAGCGCCGGAAACCTCCCTACCTTGCGTAAGCTTTCCCTTCTCCCTCCTCTCCTTACTCTCCCCTCGTTCCCGAGTAAATTATTACATAGATATGAGAACATCAACCAATCAAAGTCACTGTCAATACTCTGCCATAAAATAGTAATTCTTCACCTGAAGTACACGAATTTGTCGATCAGCTCACATATATCGACGAAAACAATCGCGCGACCTCTGCTCGCCGGCTACCACAGCATCACCTTGTGGAATGACCGAAAGTGTGCTAAGTGCGTGTTTATATAGCCGTTGGGGTGTTATCACAATCATGCCCATTGCAAAACACTAATAGCTAAAGTCCTGTGAGCTACATGATTCTGTTAGCGGTTTGTTTATCCCATGAGCTTCCTTCTCACTCACTTCATTTTGCGGACGGACACACATACATACATACACACACATACAGACATACAAAACCGACACACAAAGTTAGCGCTTTATAAAATAGAAGGATATTTCTTTGTTTATGTGCTGAATAACTTCCCCTTGATTTCTGCGACCCTGGAAGTAGGATTTCGGCAGGTTGGCGGACCTACTAAGTCGGTATCCGGAGTTCTCTGTCTTCTTATATGAGCTTGCAGTGTTGGCGGCCACTGCCCTTCCAGCCAGTTTCCACTCCCTCTAGTTGCGTATCTGTCCGCACTCTTCGACTTCCGACTTCCAACGGTACTTATTGAAAGTACGTCCGTCCTTCCAAAAGTACTGTTGCAAATGTTACTGGCGTTTCTATTGTTTTCTGGGGTGCGGTCACCGAACATTATTTGTTCCCCTCATCTACAGGGGTGGGGGTGGAAAACGGAAACACAGAGTCCCCCTTCCCCCTCGCACACAACGGGAATTATTCACTTCTTGTTGCCAACAACCAAATTGCCGAACTAAACATACGAGAACATATTCTAATCTATCAACAAGTGACACATTGTCTTCTAAATGACGACATCAGAAGATTTTCCCACGGAAACATGGTTCACAGTATGACATCAACGAGTCGTCGGGGAAGGAAGTAGTTACCAATACGAGCGTCCCTGAAACGCGCTGATCAAACGCGGTTTTGCAGACGCCGTTCATCAGTTAATCCACTGAAGATGAATAATGTAGTAGCCAAGCGATTACGGTAAGCCTCGTTGAGCTCGACGGTGACGGCAGATGACGTCATATTCTGAAGACGGTGGGGGCAGTGAAGGAGGGCCTGCTTCTGCTTTGGGGGACACCTAAGGAATATTCTGCCGTAAAACATTCATCAACAACGGCATCCTGTGCGACGAAAAATTTGATGATGTGCGCCATGGGCAAGTGACTTTTTTGCCCCCACCCCCTGTATAGCAAGTCTATACCCTCTGCTTTTGGAAGCTAGATGCGCGTCGAGTATCACGCACCACCTCGAGAGCTTCAAGTAAATCTGGTTGCTAGTGGTTTATAGTGGTAACCGATAGCTGGCAAATGGTAAATGGTAGCTGCAATTAGTAACAACTGATAGAATACAACTGCTGATGACTTCATTGGCAGAAAACACATTTTGTGGAAGCCGTCGTCACTTGTGGTGTGTGGTCTGCACTCGACTCGCATCTGGTTTTCGAACTCACTAATTGTTATTCAGTCCATATATCGTGCCAAAATTTTGTCTCTGTCAACTTGCATAGAATTCGTTCCTATGATGCGCCATCTGTACGCGGCATACTCACTCCGTGCCACATAACTACCTCAGGCACCGAACCAGAGTCTGCGAAGTGTCCATGATGTGGTATGCGCTATGTCTCGCTTCAGAAATAGAGTTTTTAGGCCTGACATAGGCTACTTTGCGACCAATGACCAGACCTTATGCATTTTATTTCGGAAAGGGACAAAACAGGTTTTCGAACACGAAATCTTTTAAATATGCAAAAGAATACGACAGGAGGTATTGGAAAGAATTCGCGAAATGTGGGCCTTGACGCGATTTTTCCATTCAGGATAATGTGGACGAAAAACTTGAGGTAGTAGTGAAACAATGGTTAGACGCGTCAATTGTTTCTTACACAGTACCGCTATCAAACCCCACAAGGCTTGCATCACAATAACAGCACCGCGTCGATCCGGAACCATCCTTGCATCTTTTCGAAGGCTATTTCCTGAGTTAAGCATTTTTATGAGCAGGGACTTGTCCGAATGCTCCCAATCAGCTCCACCCTGTAGGCCTAATATAACATTTCCAATTGCTTTTTCCTTCCTGAATGCCCTTTCTAGAAGGTTTTTTTAAACAACTGTCATTGAAATATTGAACGAAAAGTCTTTTTTTACATTTCAGAACTGGGCGGAAAGACGCCAAGACCAAAAAGGAAATCCTTTTGGAGTGAAAGGACCTAATGCAGGATGGCCATACGGCAACCAGCAAGGACAGCAACCGTTTGGAAGACAAGGACCTGACATGGGAGGACCGTTCGGAATGCCAGGACCTAACATGGGAGGACCGTTCGGAATGCCAGGACCTCACATGGGAGGACCGTTCGGAATGCCAGGACCTAACATGGGAGGACCATTTGGCGGAAAGGTTTCGCAGCAATAAAAATGCTATGTCAGCCATTTTTGCAGAATAAACGATTTCCACATAGTCTCGAAATCAAAACCTATATATCACACGCCATAGTCTTGAAGCCCACTG